AAATATTTTTCCTTAAAACAACACTATATACCGGTTGGACTATAGAGTAGATTGAAATAATTTTCTGTAAAAAAATTAAAATTATTATTTTAAGTGATATAAAATTTAATATAAATAAAATATTAACATATAAAGTAAACTTGTGGGACCCAATATGAGTTCTTCAGAATTGCACCATTAGAATGAAAAATTAGTTGAGTTGCTTCAAATTGACGTGGCTTAATAGATCCCACAAAGAACCCAAAAATGAGTTCGCAGTTGGAGATGCTCTTAGTTTATTTTTAAAGAAACAAAATCATAATCAATATTAAAGTTTAAGTTTATGTTACTATTGGTTGATATTGTTATATCATAGAATCATTATTACAATATTGACAAATTTTATTACTCACTATGAAATTTATTATTAATTTTTATAATAATTGATACATTTATATTCGTAAAATACAAAAATATATAAATTACTGAATATTGTAAAAGAATATAAAATAAAATTAATACGGATAAATAAATAAACAAACAAGCCTGTATTTTCACTATGGAGTGGCATCCATTATACAAAATTAAGGCAAAGGAGAAATAAATGATTCAATAAGAGGAGTAGTGTTTATATAATAAAAGACTTACGGTTAGATATACATGTATATACTATTATATAGGAAAATTTATAAAAAAGTGTATGATTGATTCAAATACGAGAAAAATGTGGTTTGTTTTAATAATTTATGTATAGTATATATTTGATAAATATTTTTTATCACAAATGCATTTTGTGTTATACATAATATTAGACTTATTTTTATAATTGATGTATTGATGTTAAATTTATCCATCCCATTAATATATTTTTACCACCATTATCACTTATTTAACTACTATTTTATTGTTAATATTTAAATATGTTATATAATTATTTTTGATTATATTTAATTATGGTGTGTTCAGGGATGAAGCCAGAAATTTTGAATAATGGGGTCAATATAAATATAATATTTTATTTTCAAAAATATAAATATAAATTATAATTGTTCTCTACGATTTTTCATGTTTTGAAAATGTTGAATGATTTTCTCATTTTCAACATCAACAAAAATATCTTTCTCAATGTAAGTAACTAAACAATCATTTAACCAATCATCACCCATGTGATTTCGCATTCGATTCTTGCTAGTATTCATAGCAGAGAAAGCTCTTTCAGTTGCAGTTGCCACTGGTAATATCAGAGATAACTTTAAAAGCAAATAAATCAACGGGTACACAACATGTTTTTCGGTCTCTACGAGCTTGATAGAAAGATCATCAATCCCCTATAATTCTGAAAATTCAGTGTCAGAGCATACATCTAAGAAATAGTTATCATGCTGACAATCTAGTGCCAATAATTCCACTTGAGAAAACTCTGAAGGATAAAATTGAGTTAAACGGATCAACCTTTCCTTATCAAATGCAGAAAATGAATCTCTTGGACTTAAACAAGCTACACAAAGGAGCAACTTTGTATTCACTTCTGTAAAACGGTTATTCAGCTCTTGAAGTTGTCGATCAATCACTTCATAAAACAATTCAACTTGAAAATGATGTAAATCAGATACTTTCTCCATTTTTTTCTTTGACTTTTTTTGTGTCGGTTGAAAAGTGTCATCCATATCTGAAATATCAATATCATTATACTCACAAAATAATGAAACATCATTCAATAAAGAATTCTAACCATTATCTCTTATAGCTTGTAGCCTTATTTTGGACACTTTAACTAACTTCATAGCATTTACAATATCTTGATCATTTCTTTGTAATGCTTGAGATAAATCATGTGTAATTCCTAAAACTATTTTCATCAAGTGCAAGATGAAAATAAATTCAAAAAATTGCATATAATTAATCAGCATTAGTACTTCACCTTTTTTATCTAAATTTGTTCTATCTTCCTCAACCATTTCTAGCACATCAATTATAGAAGAGAATAAAGAAACTATACTAACTAATGTAGTATAATGTGAGCTTCATCTTGTTTCCCCCGCCTTCTTAATTGTCATTTCTTGATCCAAGTCACACCCACTGGAGATTTCTCCATGTTCCAATGCTTCTTTCACCTTTATAGCTTGACTTTCACGAAGAATATCTCGGCGCTTACATGATGCTCCAACAACATTATACAAATTAACAACTAAATTGAAAAATAAATCAATTTTAGAATGCTTTTTTGCTAATTTCATAAGAGCTAATTGGAGTTGATGGGCAAAATAATGAATAAAAAATACAGAATAATTCTCTTTTAAAATCAAGCTTTTTAGACCATTGTATTCACCTTGCATATTACTTGCTCTGTCATAGCCTTGTCCACGTATCCTTGACAAACTTAATCCATATTTTTCAAATAATGACTCCAAAGCCAATTTCAATGTTATAGCACTAGTATTTGAAACATGAACAACACCAAGAAAACGCTCAATAACTTTTCCTTCATTATTTACATAACGTATAACCACAATCATTTGCTCCTTCACTGAGATATCACGAGATTCATCAATTAAAATAGCAAATAAATCATCTCCAAGATCATCCAGTATAACTTGAGTAGTGACTGTTGCAGCAGTTTTAACAATATCCTTTTGAATATCAGGAGATGTTTACTTAAGATTTCCACGACAATTTTTCCAAACTTTATAAATATCTTCATTGTGGTTAACAAGAAAATTCATAAGTTCAAGAAAATTCCCCTTATTTCTAGACGAAATTGACTCATCGTTACCACGAAAAGCTAAACCTTGTGCTAATAAATATCGAATGCAATCAGTTATACTTGTCAAATGAATTCGATAGTCATCTTTAACTTGATTGGATTGTTTACACAAGACACCTTCAATGTGTTGCTTTTGTTTCATTAGAGCTTGACAATTTCTCCATACTTGATTGTGAGAGTTATTTACATCTCCAAGATGAACTAGAAACCTTTCACTTTTTTTCCAATTTGTAAAGCCTTCTGTTATAAAGGCATCACAACAACTTTTATGTTCTTCAACGTGTGACCTCATAAGATAATAACATAAACAATATGCAACATCCTCACTTTGACTATATTCCAACCAACTACCATATTTTAAATACCATTCCGAATTAAACTTACAAAAGGTATCTCCAAATTTTCTTTGTGGAAAAATAATTTATTTTGGTTGACAAGGACCCTTTTGCAAATAGTATCTTCTAATTTCATCTCTATCACTTGGATGATAATCTAACATTTTTGGCCTTAAACCAGGATCATTAGGAAGTTCTTCCGATTCAAACTCCAAAAACCTTTTTTCATAGGAGGACTCGGTCTGAGACTTCGACCTTCATTAGGTGTTTGAGGATTAGAAGTTGATGATTACTCTGTTGATTTTCTTTTAAAATATGTTTCCATTGCTTATTACTAAAAACAAAACAAAATAAAAAAATCACAATTGAAATCCTATTTAAAAAATTCACAATAATACTATAAAATTGATACAAACATAACAAATTCAAAAAAATACTACAAAACTTTAAAAATAAATTTTCTACAATTAACATAATCTCTTGTTCAATAATGTAATAATATATTTTTACTCTTATTATAATAATAAAAATAAATTATAAATTCATTTAGTTAAATTTTATAAAAAAAATTACCTTTTAAAAGATCAACAATGGAGGGAGAGGAAGCTAGTAACAGAGAGAGACTCTTTTGCAGCAAGAGAAAGAGGAGTGAGAGAAAGAGGAATATCAAAAGTGATTGTATTTGCAAATAGTCAAAGAGAATTATGAATAATAGGAATAGGAAAAGTTAGGTTTTTTTTTAAATTTTATTTAAAACATTTATTTTATTTATTATATAAAACTAACTGTTTTTAAAAAAAATTAATTAGATATTTAAATGGATGTCATAGTCAGAATATTTTTTAAGTGGAGGTATTAATTAGTTTTCCTTCTAATTTTTAATATATTAAATAGGTTAATATACTCCATATACTCTATGGATGTATTTAGAATTATTTTATAATATTTTAGTCCATATTCTTTAATAAATGATATTTGTATATTTAATTTTTAAAAAAAAACATATGATGTACAATTATAAATACGATAACAAATTCGTTGTTGATTCAAATATTTTTATATAGATAAAAATGTATTGTTAATTCAAATGTTTTTATTCAGGTAAAATTATGTATTGTTAATCCACAGATTTTTTTTATAAAGTGTTATTTTTATAAATGAAAACAAATTTATTATTAATTTAATAGAAATACTAATATCACTCTCTTTTCAAAAATTTCTCTAATACTCACTCACTCACTCTCATTTGTTAAAATATGTGTAGATCCTACCACTTTATTTGAGACCTATTTATAAAGTAAAAGACTCACATGTTACAACCAACAACAAAAAAATAAGTGTTTCAGAGAATATTGAAAAGAGAGGGCCACTGGCACTCTTCGTTAATTCAAATATTTTTATAAATAATAACAAAACAAAAATAATATTATTATATGGGAAAAATATACTTTTATTCAAATATTTTATATACAGAAAAAAACTATAAACTCTTTTTTCATGTTTATTATATTTTATTATATTTTAAAAACAAATTTTATCATATTTAAAAAACAAATGGGCGTGCATCATATCAGTGGTCTACTACTAGTTAATTAATACAACTTACCATCACACATAAAAAAAACTCTGAACATGCATTAGTATAACATGAATATGTAAAAATAAGCCACCATTGTGAAAATGAACATATATTTTCTTGCACCACTATCAGACAATAACGTTCTTTTGGGATAGTGGAACTGAAAAACGGTCAAATGAGTATCATAATAATTACTAGTCAACAGACCGAGATAAAATAGAACCCTAGGATACATAAGAAAACATAAGAAAATAAATAGAAATTCAACATCAGTTCAAATTGGAACACCATCCAAACAAAATGATTAAAGCAAAAACAAAAATTACATAAGATGGAGATTCTCTTAGAATCTACCCCCCCTTCCACGGAAAGGAGCACCACGTCCTCTAGGAGGACCTCTTCCCCTTGGAGGACCCCTTCCCCGGAAAGAACTACGACCTCCCCCACCTCTTCCACCTCTACCAAAACCACGACCTCCTCCACCTCTTCCACCTGATGCTTGTCCCCTACAATAGTAACCAATAATGTTAACATGCACACTTCAAACCACTTTAATAGTCAGAATAACAATCGGTCAATCATGTTAACCTAAATTGCTTCAAACCACCTTAACCTTTAAAGCAACAAAACAACAACAATGTGTTCCACTCTAAGACACGACTTCATGACAACATAATATTGGGACAGTATCATGTCTGCATATATAGCTAAGATAGTATACTTAAAAGCTTAAAAGAACTGCTTCATTTAAGAGGAACCGCGGACTAAAATACAAAGTCTAAGATGGGGCGTTTCATTAAAAAAAATGCTGACAAATACAAACATATATTAAAAACTTCTCAAACAAAACATTTCCATCGAAGCTTGGAACAAGAATTCAGACTTACAAAACAAAAACCATTCTTGAAAATCATACATCAACTATTAATATAACCATAGTGAGCTTATCATACTAAACAGTGATAGTTCTCAGGACAATATGAGATCCTCAACACCCTCTCACACTCACAATTAGGCATTATTGGCATGGACTAATGCGAGGAATAACTGGGATCTCAACATCTATACTACCAAGATCTCTTCAATTAAAAAATATATAATCATAACAGATATCATCAGACAAAAGTTAATGCAAAAAGACTTACGATTATAACAGAAACACAACATGCTTGGTATTAAATAAAAACAGGTTATAACAAATAGCAAAAAGTATACATAATTTAAAGAATGAATGATGCATCTAGATAGCAAACACACCTACAACATATGAAATATAAAGCACTTTCTTGCAAAGTTAAAACAAAATATAGCACACATATGCAATACAATACACCAATGTAGTGAAGCAATCAAACTATACATAAGGATTAGAATACAAAACAAAAACTAAAAAAACATAAACAGAAATAAGGAACTTAATTGAGAGTTATACAACTTAATTTTAAGAGAGTGAAAGAGAACATACTTAGGTTGAGGTAGAAATCTTGCAAGAGGCAAGAGTTTACTTGGGTCAATATAAAACTTATCACCAGCAGAGTAAGAAGTAGCAACTATCCCTTCCATCATTTTGATTGAAAAGTACTACACGCAGCACAAAAATCACATTAGTGCAGAAAAATTACATTAGAGCGGAAAATTCACATTAGAGCAGAAAAATCACATTGGTGCAGAGTTAACTTAGTGCTTAAAATAAGATAGAAACTCACAGATTCGTTGATAGGTCCGAATATTTCGTCAACTTTACCAATCTGAGTCATGTTTTGAAGATAAATGGGAGCATTAAAGTATGGAATTTTCTCATTTGTAAGCTTTGTGACAGCATCGCCTTCACAGGCATGGATAAAGGTTGAGACCTCTGCATACACCAAAAAACAAAACAAAAACAACTCAGATAACATAAACCATTCTCTGGTTTCAACACATTCAAAAAAATCTATTTTTTTCAACAAAATAAAGGCTTTTTAAACAAATGCTTAAAAAGTTTCCTACCTACAACTTCGGAGGGAGGTCCTTCATCACGAAAGCCACGTCCACCACCGCCGAAACGACCACCACCTCTACTACGAAAGCCACCGTCACGGCCTCCCCTAAATCCTCCATCACGACCGCCTCTGAAACCACCACTTCGGCCACCGCCTCTTGGAGGTCTCATCGTTTGTTTAGCAGTGGTGATATTGTGAGAGATGGAGCAAATATTGTGAGCAACAGAGAAGAGGAACCTTGGGGTTTAGGGTTTTGGAATGGCTAGGGTTGTAACGAAACTTATTTGGGCCGCGTGGTTTTTCTTTTGGACTGAGCTCCACGGCCCGGTTAAAATTGTTCTTTAACTAAATTTTAGGGTATTTTTTATTACATCTCATGCATTTCTTTTCTACCATTGAATTTTCGCATATGCTTTTAGATTTTAGAAATATATCTTCGGACGTACCCCACATTTGACTAAACGTTAATAATATTTCGGAGATATTTCTCCAAAACTATTTAAACCTTAAACGGTCACAACATATCTCTCATAACTCATTTCAATTGAATATTTCTGGAGATTTATCTACGAGAATTTTTCGGAGATATACCTTCAAAGTGTATTTGGCCCTATTGGAACTGCTTCAATTAGTGGAAAGAAATATAGTTTAGGTCAAATTTATTATATCCAAAGATGAAACATACGAAGTATTTAACATCTTCTACATTCAAGTACAATCTGAGATAGAAGTAAAGATTCTGAAAAGTCATAAGTGATTATGGAAGAGAGTTTGAAAATGAACCATTTGAGTCCTTTTGTGAAAGATATGGAATTATCCATGAGTTCTCTTCTCCTAAAACTTCACAACAAAATGGGGTTGTTGAGAGAAAAAAAAATATCTTCGCAAGAAATAGCAAGAACAATGATTCACAAAAATAAACTCTCTAAATACTTGTAGACATAAGCTGTTAATACTACATGTTATATTCATAACAGAATCTATAATAAACCAATTCTTAATAAAACATCGTATGAATTATTTAAAGGTAGAAGACTAAGTATTTTTTATTTTCATCAATTCATATGTACTTCTTACATTTTGAACAATAAGGCCATGTTAAAGCTCAACATGGTATCTTCTTAGGATACTCTGAGCGCTCAAAAGCATACAGAGTGTATAACTTAGAAACCAGAATGGTTGAAGAGTCTATGCACGTTAAATTTGATGAAAAAATACCTGACTATGACAAGTCAGGGTCTTTGGCCCAGAATGATAACACTGCGGGTATTCAGAACTTTGAAGAACAACTTGTGGTATGTGCTCCTAAGGAAAAAAGTATAAATGATGATACTTCATAATCTATTAGTATTATTGAAAGATTACCAGAGGTTGCAGAAACAAAAGTTACTCCAATTGGTCCTACTGTTATTGATTCAGTGATTGCTCAAAATGGTATTGAAGTTTCTGCTCCACCAAAGAAATTGTTTAAATATAAAACATTTCATCCAGAATGTCAAATCATTAGAAATAAAGACGGGATATTGAGAATCAGACTTGCTTTTAGAAATGATCAATCAATACTTGGACTTATTTCATTGACAGAGCCTACTACTATTGATGATGCATTATCAAATAATAGGTGAATCATGGATATGGAAGATGAACTAAATCAGTTTTAGAGAAATGATGTGTGAGCTCTTGTTTCAAAACCACAAAAGAAAAACATCATCGGGACTAAGTGAGTTTTCAGAAACAAACTGAATGAACTTGGAGAAGTTGTTAGAAACAAAGTTAGACTTGTAGTTCAAGGCTAAAATCAGCAAGAGCGAATTGACTTCATTTAAACATTTGCTCTTGTGGCAAAGTTAGAAGTCATAAGACTTATTCTCTCTTATGCCATCAACCATGACATTGTATTCTATCAGATTGATGTAAAAAGTGTTTTTCTAAACAAAGTTATTACTGAGGAAGTGTATGTTATCAAGCAACCTCCTGGATTTGAAGATCCAAACCACCCAGACTTTGTCTACAAACTCAATATATCATTTTATGGTCTTAAACAAGCTCCAAGAGCATGGTATGAGAGACTGAGTAATTCCTTGCTTGAGAATGCTTTTGCTAAAGGCAAGGTTAACACTACACTATTTAGGAAAACTCTAAAAGAAGGAATCTTGATTGTTCGGATTTATGTCGATGATATAATTTTTGGTTCCACGAATGTATCTCTTTGTAAAGAATTTTAAAAAATAATGCAGGTTGAATTTGAGATGAGCATGATGGAAGAATTGAAATACTTCCTTGAAATTCAAATTAAACAAAAGAAATAATGTGTGTGTGTGTGTGTGTGTGTGTGTGTGTGTGTGTGTGTGTGTGTGTATTCATTAGTCCAATACAAGAGAGCTTGTAAAAAAGTTTAATCTTGACGAATGCAAAGTCATGTTAACTCCTATTCATCCAACCTACAACTTGAATGATGAAGAATGCAGTGCTAAAGTGGACCCAACTAAATATCGAGGTATGATAGGTTCCTTACTCTATCTCATTCTTTCCAAACCATATATTATATTTAGTGTATGTTTGTGTGCAAGATTCTAATCAAATCCTAAAGATACACATCTAATTGTTGTTAAGAGGATATTTATTTATCTGAAAGGTACAACAAATATTGGACTTCTTTATAAGAAATACTTAGAGTATAAGTTAGCTGGATTCTGTGATACTGATTATGCCGAAGATAGAATTGAAAGGAAATTCACTAGTAGAACTTGTCAATTTTTAGGTGAAAACCTTATCTCTTGGGATAGTAAAAGGCAAGAAGTTATTGCTCTGTCTACAGCAGAAGCAGAATACATCTCAATTGCTAATTGTTGCACTCAACTGCTACAGATGAAATATCAACTTGAAGATTATCAGATTTTTGGAAATGATATTTCTATCCTTTGTGACAACACTGCTGCTATTTGTCTAACGAAGAATTTGATTCAACACTCTAGTTCTAAGCATATTGAAATCAAACACCATTTTACAAGAGACTATGTTCATAAGGGCGTAATAGATATTCAGTTTATTGATTTTGAACATCAATGGGCTTATATATTTACAAGATCATTAGTTATTGCCAAATTTTATTTTATTAAGAAAACTTTGAACATGGTCTTTGTCAATGAATAATGCTTATCTTCTAAAGGGGGTGTTAGAGGAATCGTTGGACTCTGATAACACCTAGTTGAAATTCTTTAAAAAATCTGAAATTTCTTTAAAAATGGTTTATAAGCCTTGATTAGGGTATATGGGATTTCTCTCATCTTTGATTGCTTTATCTAAGCAAAAAGTGATTAGTCTAATTCCTTGCTATATGCTTTAAATTAACAATTGAACTAATCTTGAGCTCTAATAAAATAAGTAACTTTGTCTTAAAAGGAGTGTGCTGACAAAGATTCTAATTCATTTTTATTCAGACTCATCACTGTCCAAACATTTAATATATACTTGCTTATATATTGGCATTCTATGTATTATAATGATGTCCGAGTGTTTTCCTAATTTCATGAGTTATCTTATATATAAGAGAATATTGTGAAATTACTAACATTTCTTCAAAAACCATTAAAGGATATATTTTTGATCTAGATATTCTGAAAGAATTTACGGTTATTTTCAATGAATTGACGACGATTAATCTTTCACGGATAGTCGCAGATATTCATTTTCAAAAATGGGATGGATATTTTGCAATGCTTAATGGACCTATCTATCTAGATCTAGTGAAAGATTTTTGGGAGAATGCTCATGTTCATCAGAATGATCTAGATGATTGCCAGATTTTATCTATTGTCTATGGTTTTTCTGTTGTGATCAACTATAAAATCATCTCTCAGGCAATAAATTATGAGGAAGATGGAGTTATTGTTGAAAACTACAGATATAACAACAGACTTATGACTTTTATGCACAACATCTATGGTAGTAGAGGTCATACTGAAAGTCCTTATACTCTTACTCTTATGGCAAAATTTCGGTACCAAATTACGAGGATCAATTTAAGGCGTAGAGAAAAGGGGACAAGATGGATTTCTTCTGATGATAAACACTTGATTATGTTCCTAGTCTCCTGAACTAAAATTAATATGCATTTTCCTATATTCAATTATCTGAAAAAGAGATCCTTGTATCTCGTGAGAAACTATCTTTTCTCATTGCTTTTGATAGGGTTCTTTCTGTGATTCTTGTTCAACATGGAGTTGTTGCTCATGTGCAATAAGCTAGGTTGATTGACAAACATGTTTCTGACTGGTGCTTAGCCATGAATTGTTCAGAAACCATTATTAATCATTAAAGTTTCCTTTTTCCTTTGTCTTTTTGTTGATGACAAAGTGGGAGAGTGAATTAAGTGTTCTTCTAAATTAATTATGGATCCGGATGAGATTAGTGATCCTATATGGGGGGAACTTACAAACCTCACCCTTGGAGTGAAATCAATTATTCTATATAGGTTAGTGATTTTATATGGGGGGAGCTTATAAACCTTTGACCCTGGAAGTTGTTGAGTAATTAATCTACTATTAATTGTTTAAATTACTTATGGTTTTCATTATCAAAAACGGGGATATTGTTGAGACAATTTTGGTTCATACCATGTATCCTCTAAAGTTTTGATGATAACAAAGTATTTGAAAAACAATTAGGATTTCTAACTAGTTTATTCGCGAGTGCAAAATTATATTTATTTGATGTAACTGGTCCTAACATAGAAGTAGCTTTGGTTCGATTTTGATTATACACTCGTGAGGGAGTCTGATCAAAAAGTTACTACTAGTACATTTCAGAATCAGAAGTATGACGTGGCTACCTCTAAAATTGAGTAGTGTCAACTCAAGCTCTGTTAACACGAGACTCGAGATATGTTGGCATTAGCTTCAAAAGATTGTGTTGTACTTGTTTCATAGAAGTGATCTCTGGACAAAGGCCTTGTTATGTGCATAATTTCTTGACTACGAGTTCTAACATTTACTTTCTTGGAAAAGAAGATGTACTATAAAATTTGATTTGATTATAACCATTGTGAATACTTCAAACGACTAAATTTCTTCAGCTATAAGAGGAGCAGAAGATTGAAAGATCAACTCAAGAAATAACGTTACAACTACAACTGAGATATACATGCACTACATTCATATCAGCTCAAGAG